GCATAGGTTTGTTATTACAATTTGAGTAAAACTAAATTATGAATGTAATGTAGTGAATAAATATATGAAATGCTATTTATTTGAAAAAATAAAAAATTATATCGCATATATGTTTGTAAAAAAGCAACAAAACACATTATAAATTTTCACTGATTAATACCTTATAATTATTCACATGCACACACATATACATATATAATAAGGAATGAAAAGTTACGATATGATAAGAATATAGATTTTTTTTGTTAGGCACGAAGCCTCTACATTGTGCCTAATTTGGACATGGGTCATCTTCTTACGACTAAAAATTAGCTAGGGATTTATAATTGTGCCTAATAACTTTGGTGCAGGCTCCTTCGCTAAACTAAATATGCGCCTAAATTTTTTTTTTTTCTTTTTTCTTTATCAATTATATCCATAAGGATTGAGAAAGTTTCACATTGTATTTATATGTCACAAAAAATATGTCACAAAAAATTAAGGAAATTGATGTGGATTTAGGCTAAAGTTGATGTGAAGTTAGACCAAACATGATGTTGGAGTTTTGGATTTTTGTTGGAACAAATACAAAAGTACATACATTATCTATAAATATGTATGTTCTATTTCTGAATATGGTAATCATAAATCACTTTATGATGTAGTACATAATTGAAAGAAAATAATATTGTAGTTGTATAAGGAATTTTTTAATGGTATGGGGTGAACTCGTGATCGTATGGTAAGATTACATGTTCAGATTTTTACCTTTAGGTCTTATCTGTCATACATTGTTCGTCTAATGTGATTTGTCTTGTCGGTCTAATTTGCAGGACTATTAGATTAGACATAAAATTTACCTAGAACGTATTCGAAAAGTAACGGCGGAGGTTCTCACATTATAAAAAAATGTCGTAGTTACCATGTGTAATAGTATATATATAGTACATGGTTGAAATTAAAATAAAATATGTTGTGTGTTTTATTACCATGTATGGTTTGTTTATATAATATATTTCTGATATGTCAACATATGGCATGATAAGATTACCCGTAAAATGTATTGTCTGAACTATTATAATTTATTGTCAGCATTTGTGTTGCATTAGCACGCGGTTTTGATTTAATATCAATTATGATATATAGAGCTGTCAAAATGGGTTGAACCCACCTTATTGACCCACCCCGCCACACTTTTAACGAGGGTTGGTTGTGATTTTTTAAGCCTGTTAAAATACGGGCCTAAACGGGCCAACCCACGTGGGCTGTGAGTTAAGACTGGGTTAGCCTGCGGGTTAAGTAAAATAATAATTAGTACTTACCCGTCTCAGCTAAATATATTTTTTTTTATATTTTTTATTGTCACATCAAAAGATTATAATAAAAATAATCATGTACAATTATAAATATATCATTATAAATACAATTAACTTATAAATAATATACAAAGAGTAAAAAATATCAAAATCATCATGTACACTTTATTTAATAAATAACATGTTATTATTTTTTTTTAAATTTATTGAAAAGAGATATTTTTAGTTAAGACGAATAAAATAAAATTTATATTATCATTAGCTTAAAAAATGAATAAATATTGTCTAAAATTTTTTTTCTTCTATAACTCGTTTATCAATGTCACTTTTTTTGTTTCGATTTTTCATAATTTGTTTTGTTCGTCTTCATTTTATTATCTTATATACTCCCTCCGGCTCGTAACTATGTATCCGTTTGTTTTTTACATGAAGTTTTTGAAATATTAGTATTATATTGGGATGTAGTAGGAATAAAGTAGAAATGACTAAAATAACCTTATTAGTATTGTGTGATATAAAGGTAATGACATTTGTGTAATATATTGTAAGTTGTAAGGGTATTTATAATATTAAGTAGATAGTACAATTACTAAAAAAAAAAAAAGAAAAAGAAATTGATACTTTGTTATGGAACGGACTAAAATGAAAAAATTGATCCTTTGTTATGAGACGGAATGAGTTTTTTTTTTTTAATTCTATAATCTATTAACATATTCATAAAATTGATTGTGATTATTTTTAAAATATATCTTATTATTAATTTTTTTAAATACACTAACTAATAATATTTATAATTGAGAATTTTTATATTTGTTATTTATTTTTAAATATTTATTATTTAAAAATAAAAGTATTTTTAACTATTTTTAAATATTAACTACAAAAAATATTTATAATATTAATATTTTTTTATTTTTAAGCCCGTGGATCTGCCCCACAACGGATTGACATGCAAACAACCCGCTTATTTGATGCATTGTGGAATAATCCGGTCTGCTAACCTGTTTTCACAGGTCAAATGACATATTGCGTATTATTATCAAATTTTGTGATTATTAAAATTAAAATTACTCGGCATTCTATTTGCCGTTATATATATATATATATATGAATGGTACAGTGCTATCAATGTTTCAATATTTTTTTTTTTGCTAGTTTTACTTTTAAAAGTATTTTTTAGATGAAATAACTTGATAAATTATTTTTATCATTCGGGTCCTTTTTTTTATGTGAAATATTTTTATAAATATATTTTAAAGAGTAGAAAAAGGGAAAAAAACTATGTAGATAAAAAAAATAAATAAATAAAAAAATAATAATAATAATTGAAACATTTTAAAATATTTTTAATAAAAAATAATAATAAAATATTCAAACGAGTATTATTTATTTGTGGTGATATAAATAATAAAAACTAAAATAAAATAAAACAAAAAAAAAGCTGGTCAACTCAACATATTTGGTTGCGAAATTTCAACTATACGTTGATGTTGCATTCATTTTTTCATCAATTGTTCTTTTCTAAAATAAATAAATTATAGTCTACTTATAAATCAATCTTCTGTTTATACATCTCTCATAAATAAATAAAATTTTTTATATATTTAAAATACTCTAATTTTTATGAACTAATGTATATTAATTATGTGTAAATATTTTTTTATTGTATTATATAAATTTTTAATTATCTAAAAAATAAGATAAATATATATTAAATATATTTTCTTGAATTATAGTAGCTTCTAATATATTCAAAATACTTTTTAAAACCAATATATATTACATCTAATCTAATTTACAATAAAATAATCTATTATTATAAAATCGTATATCCAACTTCCAAACAAACTTCATAATGTAGCCCAGCCATTTTGGCTAGGGGTGTCAAAAGTAAACACGACCCGAAAAATCGAACCCGTTCGACCTGAGATTTTTCAGGTTTCGGTTTGGGTATTTCGGGTTTAAAAAAAATCGGGTCGATCTGAACCCGAAACGAAAAAAATTTGTGTCGTGTTTGGGTCGTGTTTCGGGTTGACACCTGAAATATAAAATCAGGTTAGGTTTTGGGTTTCGGGTTTCGGGTTGACCTAAAATTTTTATTATTATTATTTTAATTTATTATATTTTAATTTATAATATAAAATAATATAAAAATAAAAATAAAAATGATATTTTTTAAGTCAATTTAATTTTTTTTTAAAATTTTCGGGTCTGTTTCGTGTCGGTTTGCATCGAGTTTGTTCGGGTTTCGGATGACCTGAAACTAATTCAGGTCAACCTGAACCCGACCTGAAAGAATTTGTGTCGTGTTCGAATCTAGGATTTCAGGTCAGATTCGAGTTCGAATGAGATTCGAATTGACAATTTTTTTGTTATCATCATGACTCTACCTAAAAATCACGAATTGAACACCCCTAATTTTTGGTGGACAACGACTTTAGAGCACATACAATAAAATTATTTTAGATTGTTTCTTTTCAATATAAAAATAAAGTAAAATAAAAAGTAGAAGCATTATTACAAAATTTATTAAAAATTAATAAAAAAGTGATGTGATAAATAAAAAAAAAGTATTGGCAAAGTGATGAATTCTTGTCTGTTCCAAGCTGCTGCCCTCCCTCACACAATGGGTGTCAAAAGTAAACCCGATCCAAAAAATCGAACCCGTTCGACCTGAAATTTTTTAGGTTCGAGTTTGGGTATTTCGGATTTTAAAAAAATCGGGTCAACTCGAACCCGAAACGAAAAAAATTCGTATCGTGTTCGGATTGTGTTTCGAGTTGACCTGATAACCTGAAATATAAAAATCATATTAGGTTTTGAGTTTCGTGTTAACCTGAAATTTTTATTATTATTATTTTAATTTATAATATTTATATTATTTTAAATATAAAAAATATAAAAAATATAAAAATAAAAATAAAAATGATTTTTTTAGGTCAATTTAATTTTTTTTAAAAATTTTAGGGTTTGTTTATTGTCAGGTTATCGAATGACCTGAAACTAATTCAGATCAATCTGAATCCGACTTGAAAGAATTCATGTCGTATTCGGATCTAGGGTTTCAGGTCATATTTTTGGTTCGGGTCGGGTTCGAGTTGACAGTTTTTTTGTTATCCCCATGACTCAACCCGACACGAACACGGCTCTGAAACACAAATTGACAACCCTACCCTACGCATTTCAAATTCTGACATGAAATTACATACACAATTTTATTCTTCATGGGGGAATATTTGAAATATTCAACCAATATTTACTATACCCAAAATAATGCATTCCCAGTATAAATCTATTCAATCAAGTTTAAGAAATCACTATAAAATTGAATACTTTAATGATCAAGAATGTAACATGGTCAAGTTCAAACTCTCCACATTGAATTAAATAAATCTCCATAGCATCGACACCTGAAGAAGAAAGTAGACCTGAAGACATCTAGTAAGTGCTTAAAACTGCAAAAAATGGTGCACAATATACATTCTATGAAGAGACTATTAACATATGTTTAAACTAACAGATTATATTCACAACTCAAAACTACAACATGAACTTTCACAGATCGATTGCATGTCATATTGTTCTCAAAGGTCTTTGCTTTGCTCGTGTAGATTAAGAAATTTGCCATCACATAAAACATACGATAAACCAAAAACAAAGCAAATATGACAAAACTTGAATATTCTAAGTAACACCTTATGTAACAAACTGAAAAAATGGAAACAGATACTTGGTTTATTCATTCATAAGTTTAAATAAAAACAATTATTAATATTGGCAGCGCATTTGGTGTAGGAAAAAATGTGACAAATTGTAAGCATACATCCTTTTTCACAGGTAAGGTATTGAAAGAAGTTCATTCACAAAACTTGTAGGATTTGTCGATGCGGGAACTCAAATTCAATGGAAAGATATAGATCAAAAAACACATACCGTCTAAACATCATGAAGAGAAAAATGACCCAAGAAACTCTACTTCAGTTGGGTGTTTTGGCAGCAGAAGATTTCTTCTTGGAGTCTTGCTTTTTATCAGAATCCGCAGCTTTCTTCTTTTCCTTCCGTTCGCGCTTCTTCAAGGAAGTCATTCGTGCTTTTAAAATTGTTGCATAACTAGACTGAAAGCGTTGATGGTCCTTTGGGCCAACCTGTCATCCCAACGAAACAAGCAAATACTTCAATTGAGATCATTCCCCACAATTGCAACCATTGACAAAGTAGGGAAATGGAGCATGATATCAATTTGTGGATTATTTTCACGAATGAAAACAAGACATAAAAGAAAGGTTTTGTGAGTGACTGGTAGACTGCACGTTATGACACCATAAAATACGACATAAGAACTGTTAACCAACCATATGGTAATTATTTTTTAAAATCATATGGGCATAAGAACCATTACCAGCACTATCGTGGTTAATATTTTGATAATCATATGGGCATAAGAGTCATCCGAGCATCCCCAAATTAGTAGATTGTTATGGGTAACATTAACACAAGAGAGAGAAGGAAAACTTTGTGAATATTTACCATAGTTGAAATATTCTTTTTGCCATCCGTCGCACGAATCAGGCACTTATACTCAATCTTCTCCCCCGCTGTCTTCATCTTATTTCTTTGGACCTTTGACTTGTCAGAAGCTGGAAATATGATGTAAACATATCATGGCTTCATCAATTTCACACAGAACAAAATAAACATTTGAACATTTTGCAAAAGTTCATCCAACAGAACAAAAAAAAAAAGTGAATAGATAAGAGAACTGACAATGCTTCAATGTAACCCACACAGACCCCTTTTCCGTAGTCCTCTCAAACATATTGGTAAGTTCATTGAGGAATGGATCAGGCTGCAGACGTACCTATATATAGTGAAAATTAGCAAATGATAAAACTAATTTTCTAATAAAGATAAGAATTTACAAACTTGATACAATCCAACTCTACTATTTGATAAATCAAAATAAAGATACTCCATATAATACATATAACCGAAATGCTACACGTGATTCCTCATTGTCATTGCCTGGTCAAGCAAAATGACTACGTTAGCTAGTAAGTTAGAAGTGGCTTCCCCATGCTCAAGTCACTATTTAACCTAATTCATGTTTTCGAAACCATCACAGCCCCCAATTCCAAATGAAATAGGCATTCTTCCATCTGCCTATCAAATTGGAAAAAACTTTGTGTATAGGAACTTAAATATGAATTCGAGTAAAATGTGATTACTCACAACCCCATCAATACTCACCATGAGAAACTTGAAATAACATTGATTCATAAAATAAACTTTAAGATTACGGACCAAATGTGTCTTTTACAGCGCTTCGATGAAGAAAGCGTTCATTATGTATGGATGCAACATCACCGGCCTAATCTTTTGGGGGATTTTCCCAAATTTCCACTGTTCATAAAAAAGTTTTTCCCCAAAAACATCAAATCAAATACCTATTTTTCATTTTTTATATTATAGTAAAAATCAATATTAAATTCAAAGCATCACATCAATACCTATTTATATCACATTGTACCACTATTCCAATTCAAAATTTTTACTATTCAAATTCCACCTCAAAATTCAAACCCCAAAACAAACACACCCTAATAAACTAAATATACAATAAAACAAAATAACTCACAGGATTCATATTTCAACAATTATCTAAAATAATTACTATATCCAAACTCACTTCTATTCAAAATCATCTTCTATTAACCTTAAACACTAAAATCAATCAACTTGCATACCTATCAAATCTTCGAAAAAATACAATTCATTTGATAAATAGAACATATTAACTTAATAAATCAAACATCTATACAAAAATTTTCACACTATTAGATAATAATTAAATCAGTAATAACATATGAACCAAAGCAGAGTATTGATCCTAATCCACACTGGAGCCAGTACCCAAATTGACCTTTCTACATCTATGATTCTTAAGATTAAGATCATTACAATACTGCATTTCAATCAATCGCGCTAAGAACACCATGCCTTGGGACTAAACACACAGATTTCAAAGACATAAACAAAATTCAAAATCAGATTACCATTCTGCTTCCTCTGAAGGCCCAAAGAAACTACGAGGCAATTTAAGGCAGAATTTTTTCCTTCCTTCACTGCTTCTTTGACAGAAAGTAGCTCCTAAAATATTGAGATGGATCCCAGTAGAGCTGCACGGGTGACATATAAGATCAGTCACAACAAATTTAACAAATATTTTTCTTTTTTATTTTTTGCAACGGCTAGAAAATTGACTGCCGGAGAAGAAATAGACCGTCGAGAGTGACGAGGTGACGGTGAAGTCAACGTCGCGACAAGCCGAAGACCAGTGAAACGACGGCGAGGACAACCACCGGCGGGAGGCAGAAGAAGAAAAAGAAAGAAAATGAGGAAGAGAAAAGAAGGAGGCCCGGCGCCGCGGCAGGGGTATTTGTGGTAGGGTTAGGTATATTTGTATTTTATTTACTTTTTGTGTTATAAAAGAATAATTGGCACTTACATTTTCTATAAATATTATTAAAAAGATATAATATATATAAGAATAACTTAATATATAATATATATTATTTAAAAAAAATTAGTGATATAATATAAAATATAATTTTTTTATATTATCAATATAATTTTACATACATAATGTAAAAAAAATACTATATTTATTTAAAATACAAAATAAACAAATTTATTATTCTTCTATAAATATCTAAAATATCAAATTCTACTATTTTAACTCATGTTTTTTTAATATATTTTTTCGCACACAAAATATAATATTATTTTAATATTAAATTTAAATAAAAAATTTCAAATCAATTCAAAAGAAACACACTTGTGTTTTTTTGAAAAAACTTTTTTTAATTTTTTTTTATTTGATTATGCATTTTTAAATAAAATACTTATATATAACATTTAATCAAATATTATTGTAATTCAAAAACTTATTGTATGTTTGTTTTGTATTTTGATATTTTTTATGTGGGATATAGAAAATTGTGTAACTAATATAAAAATAAAAAAAATATATGTTATTAGTAATTCTTTTGAAAAAATGTGGTAAAAATTTTTGTTAGAAGAACAAAGAACTAAATCTTTTAAATTCAAACCTAAAGAAACTTATTCATTATTATTGTATTTGCATGGTTAACTTTGATTAATTTGAATTTTAATTGACTAATATTATCTAATTTAATCACTCAACATAAGCGCGTCATCATATGAATAAACAACATACGACATATTGTACATTCTTGAAGGTTTTTTTCAAGGAGAAAAATCATAAAATATTTTATGGCTTTTTTTTATGAAGAATACGAGGAAGGCTAAATGAAAAATAACATCATCTAGAGTAAGAAGTTGTGCACGTAGAGAAAGATGAAGAGTGCCTAATTCTCTATTTCAAATGCACTTGTGAAAATAGTTATCAAATTCTTTTTTTTTCTTTTTTTTTTTGGTAGAAATTGCTACTACAAACTCACTAATTTTTTTAACCTAACAAGCATATGTTCAAGCGATCTTTAATTGACAATTTTTTTCCAATGGGATGAATGCAAGAATGATTATTTGCTCAAGACAACTCTCTATATGGAGACAATTTGAAGTTTAGCATGATTTGATGACTTCTTTCGTAAGTTTTAATCTTCATAAAGATAAATTTAATATGTCATAACGTTTTTTAGTATAATATTTTTATTTTTTATTTTTTATTTTACTTTTGAATATAATAAAACGGATTGTTGATTTTCACTATATAAATGAACTTCATAAAGTTTTTTATATAAACTTGAATAATTTGAAGTTTCTAATGGATTCAATACAAAGAGGAATTAAATTTTGTGGAATGATTTAATTAGTTTTTTCTTTTTTTTTTTGTTGGAACCTAAAATTCAAAGGCTCCAAGTCCGTTCGTCAATTTCGTCGGTGTGGGTTCCGTAAGTACTCCAAATAGCCTATCCGTCGTCGGATTGGGGGTAGCTCTTTCGGTGGAGCCTACACGGCTTTGAGCCTAAACGACTAATTTCGATGTATTTAAACTAAAATCTACTAAAACTCGAATAAATCTACTGAAAAACGGATAAAAATATGTTGGAAACATAAATTAGCAAAAAATTAAGATAATCTCCTAAAACCTATGGATAAACTAATAAAATGATAAAGATTTGTAGAGGATGTGTGTTCTTATCGTGTGTGTTATGCGTTTTACTATATTTCATAATATCAAATAGGCAAAATAGCAAAAAATCCCCCTGTAGTTTTCCAAATTTGCTGAAAACCCCTCGTGGTTCTAAAACTAAAAAAATCTATTTGTGGTTTACAAAATATTGCAAAAAAAACTCCTTCGTTAGGATTTAACGGCGGTTGTATGTCATGCGTCTACTATGCCGATTTTTTGTCTATAAACTGATATATTTCTGTATAAAATTACTAAAATAACCTTAATGACTATTTTTACAGCAGTTTCTTCTTTCTTATTCTTTTTTCTTCCTTATTCTTCTCTATACTATCAATTTCTTCTTCTATTTTATCAAACCCAGAAATGTAATAAATTAGTTTGACATCCAAATCTAAAATCAATCTAAGAAAAAGGGAAAGAACTTGGTGCTACTGGTTGCAGAAGAAGAATTGAGTAAGAAAGAAGAATTGGGGAGGAAAAATAAAGAAGAAAGAAATTTGGGAAAGAGAGAGAGAAAGAAAGAAGAAAGAAAATTGGAGGTAGTTTCACTTATTCCTTCTACTATCTCCAACCATTTGGTAACCTTTCTCCATCAGCTTCCAATTGTAGGATTTTCCTTGAACCGCCTCCATTACATTTGAATCGGCTCCACACTCATTCTGAACCCCTCCACTGCCCTTGAATCGATTCCCCACTCATTCTGAACCAATAGAGGTGGTTATCCTATGATCTGTGGAAGTTGTTGCTTTCTGTGGAGGCAACTTTCCTTTACTTTGTGGAAGCACTTCAGCCTAATAGAGGCAGTTGTTTTCAACCGAATGGAGTCATCAATTTCTGACTTTATGGAAGCATTGTTCCGGGATGGGGGCGCCATAGTTCAAGGAGTTGCTGCTCCAAAGTTAATGGAGGTTGCTGCCCCAAGGCCTGTGGAGGCTGTTGTTTTCGGCCCTATGGAGGCAGCAATCATTTGCTTTGTGGAGGCATTACAACCCAACGGAAGTTGTTGCTTTCGGCTCTGTGAAGGCAGCATTCTTTGGCTCCGTGGCATAAAACTCCATTGTTGTTGGACGGCTCCGTGGCCTGGGAGCTCCGGCTCCGCTTTTGTCTTCGAGCCCCCTTCATATTCGAGTGTTTTTGAACCCATATCTAACAGTTCCGATAATTGGTTTTTTTCTACTGCTTCATGAAGAACAAGATTCAACATGACTCTCTTACCAATTCCGGGTTTGTGAAACTAATACTATATATATATATATATATATCTTTTGTATAAGGAATGATTAGGGCGCTTATGTTTAGTACTAATCGATATGTATATAAAATATAAATGATGAGCACATGAGTTCAATAACTACAATAGACATTGTGGAAAATTGTTAGATATGCTAAAAGTTCGCATTTACAAGTATTGTTTGAATATTTTTTTGTACTGAGGTTAATGATAATATATCATATATGAATTATTGTTATACGATGTTAGTTTATACAATGTATGTCATATGTCATTGATATTTATGTCCATTTGTTTGGACACAGATTTTAAAAAATATATGTTGTCGACAAAAAATTGTGTTATTTTTAATAAACACAAAAATTTATACAAATTATATTTAATTTGGATTTAAAACGGATCCTATTATCTAAATATGTCATTTGATTCTCTTTCCGGGTCGATTTGTTTTCTAACTTGATTTTCGATGGCTTCTTTGATCCGAAGAGATTTGGTCTTCGGTTTGACTTTGCCGGACTTTGGAGGGCTTTGGTCTCCGTACAGGCAATTTGATCGTCGGCTTTTGATTTTATGTCCTCTTTGGACGATCCGAGGCTTTGATCTATGATTTGGTTTTGCCGCATTTTAGAGGGCTTTGGTCTCCGTGTGGACGATTTGATCGTCGACTTTGGATTTGATATCTTCTTTGGACGATCCGCAGCTTTGATTATTGATTTGGCTTTGCCGCCTTTTGGAGAGGTTTGGTCTTTGTATGGGCGATTTGATCATCGGCTTGGATTTGATGTCTACTTTAGATGATCCGAGGCTTTGATCTTTGGTTTGACTTTACCGCCTTTTGGAGAGCTTTGGTCTCCGTGTGGGCGATTTGATTGTCAGCTTTGGATTTGATGTCTTCTTTGGACGATCCGTGACTTTGATCTTTGAAGAGGTGGATTTGGTGCTTCATAACACTTTTGGCGGCGTGTCCCTTTGATATTTGGATCGAACAGGGCTTGGTTGATGCTTTGTTGAAAAACGCGATGAATATTTTGAAGCTTTGAGAGGAACTTTGGAGACCTTGCCTTGTCTTTGACGGATCCTTCAACGGCTTTTGGAGCTTTGATCATTCCTCTAGCTTGGACATACGACGAAGAACATTAACTCCATCGATTCATCAACCAATATTGGATCATTTCTCCAAATCGGCGACTTTTCGACGAAGAACGCTTCGAATGATACGAAGAACATGAAGAACAATACAAAAAGAGTCCAGAGACTTACCCATTTGTTTGAATCCTCGATGTAACTTCGGTGTCTCAAATGAACTGACAATGACTCCTATTTATAGGGGAGGGTTGATCTTGGCTTCCTTTTCGGATGGTGTCATATTGCGTGTCTTGATTGGTCAACAAAAAAAATTTATAATCTGTCTTTTTTCATGAGATGTCGTTTTTTATTCTTGAAAGATTTGATTGTGCCCTTTCCTTTCCCGCCGAGATCTTTATATCATTGTTTTTTTCGTAAAATATTAAATTATATACTTCATTTATTGACAAGATTAATTTATTTTGCTGCCAAATTTACTCTATTTTTGTACGTAATATTTGTACGATATCTTTCATTTTAAGTAGATTTTTGAATTAATTGTAGATATTTATTGTACAAAAATTAACATACGTGCATAATTAAATACCATATATTTATTGAAATTTTATTTTCTTCCAAAATATATGATATTTAATTTAATTCAAACATTTATATTTAATGCCTACATATGTAAAAATAGAAAAAAAAATTATAGTAAAAAAAGGTAGAAGTAAAAAATAAAATAAAAAATATTTTTTTATGAAAAAAAAAATAGATATAAATTTGAATTACATACGGAGTATTTGTTTATATTAACATACATTTATAGTAACATGAATTTTGTAGTGTTGATTTATATTTTATGTGTTGTCAGCTTATATTGATATGTTTAATGTTGAATAATATCGCAACTACCGCCGCTTCGGATGATATGAAGTGGTCTTGGATTGTAAAAATATTAGAATAATGACAA